AACTAATCTGTAATTCCTTGGCCATAATGCAAAGGGAGGCACCCATCTGTTTGTTTGGGTTTTTTTTTTCCCTCTCTCCCACAAATGTCCTTGTTTGTGTTAACTAGCAAATCTAATCATCCAGCTCAGAGGAGAGTTGCACAACTGCAAACCTCCTGAGATTTCAGTCTAACAGCAAATCTTGCTTAATACCCCCTTGTTCGCTTCTTGCTTCAGATTTGCTGCTCCTTTGGCATTACAGCTGTGCTGTGCTTTTACACATAAACCAGATTAAACAGCAGAAGGAATGCTGAATGGAAAAGCTGTGTTATTTCCACCTTGCAGGACTTACTGAAATAAGCCTGGCTGTATTAAATGTGAGATGAAACTCCCGCGGGGAGCATTAGTCCGAGTGATTCATATAAACACTTAAAGAAGTCAGTCCTGGTTGAGCTTCCTACTCAAATAAGGTGGGTAATGGTGTGCAACCAGAAGAGCCCCTCTCCTTTGGAGAGCACCGCTGACAGAAACCTAGCTGTCGTTTATCCTCACTGGGAAGCAGCAGGATGAGTATTGGGTAACAGCAGATAAACCGGGGTTTAGGTAACTCTTTCAGGCAAGGAATTGCAAGTGTCTTTTCTGTGGAACTGTCTAGTGCTGTGAAACGTTCTTCGTCTGCGCCCTTGATGTGGGCCATCTGGAGAGGAAAATCTCATCCCTCTAGAAATGCAGCCAGGTTTACAATCACTTTCTTTTGCAGTTGACTTTTAAGGGAGATAATCTTATCAGGAGGAGTTCTGAAGGAAAGGCGAGTTACAGGTATGTGCATTTAATATGTGTCGATAAAGGCATAGATGAAGCTGCTTTCTTTCCCTCCGGTCTGCACTGTCTGGTTTTCAGGAGCCGTCGCTCAAACGCATCCTTCCTGTTAGCTTTTTGCCTCCACCCACGTGCTACGGGGCCTGATTCTGACCTCAGCACCGGTGCTGCAGCCACCGGCACGGCTGCTGCGTGGCGGTGTGAATGAACAGCACCAGCGGTCACGGGCTGCAGGGTCTCCTGCTGTAATACTGAACTCTTCTCTCTATGAGCTGAAAAAATGCTGCGCGTTGGGGCACCCACCTCCGTGACATCTTTTATGGGTGACTTCCACAGGGCGCTGCTTCTCCCAGCTTGCTATGGGCCCTGCCTGCCCGGCTTGGCAGACGGCTCCCCTGTCGCAGCGGCTTTGCCGGCTCTGGAAGCAGCCCTAGCATCAGCCGCTGCGGGGATGGCTAATGGAGCCGTAGCTGAAACAAAGCACGTCGCTGAGAATGTGGAGCTGTGTAGCCAAGTTTCTGCAGCACTTCCAGATGTGAAGCGGGGGAGTTGGTTTTAGCCTGTTTTACAGAGTTTTCTAATTGTTTCTTTTTTTTTTTTTGAAAGCACCATGCAAGCACACTGCGAACAATTTGTACTGTTCACTCGCATTCAGCTGCATGTTCCCAGTGGCAGTTGCTTAGCAGTTTTTCTAGCAGACCAATGACCATCTGGGTCAGGTCAGCAGCAGAGATCTCTTCCACTGAAATCCAAGCAAAAACTATCCCATGCCTGCGCTGTCCCATGTGTGACTTCTGCCCTCAGCCTCCAAGGTAATCCTGTCCTGAAAGACCTCTCCATGGACCAAGGAGGGGCAATGCCTACGCTCACTGAACTAGGACACAAAATTCCTCTTAACTTTGGGGAGTTTGGACTGAATAAGGACTGTGTGATTTTGGCCAACCAGTTTGGCAAGGAGTGCTCCAAGGAGGCATTATTGCTGAGTAACTTCCCATCTGCGTGGGCACTCAGGAGAAGGGGCAGAGGCTGATGGAGAGTCACGCCAGGTATTTATTTCTCCAGGGAAGCAGGCGCTTGGACCCAAACCTCGGTCCCCCTGTCAGCAGACTGCACTGGTGCTTCAGCTTCTCCCTAACATGCATCTTAGGGATCAACATCACCAATTTCGTCTTGCCTGGAGTTTCAAGCAAACTCCTTAACAAACCTTGCAGCATTTTCTGGGGAATTAAACATGAGTGTGAGGGGGGATTAAGTTGGGAGAGAGACGAAAGAAACTTGCAGTGCAACCTGTCAATGTTTCTTTTCAGGTGATAAGAAATGAGCGTGATGATGATGCCCTGGGCGCTGCTGCTCCTTCTCCTGGTCAGCTTCGGCTCACCTGCACCCAGGCTTTCGGTGTGTATCTCTTAGCTAGTGTCTGCAAAACCTCTCAATCGTTTATCATTCCCAGTTATGTAGAGGTAGGTGCTGCCCCACAAAAGGGATGTGGGCCTCCAAGAGCAGAGCAAAAAGGTGTCTGCCTGCAGCTGTATCAAGACACTCTTGCTGTCTTGGTAATACAGGGTTTTCATGGCATTAGAGGATGGGCAGCTCTCTGGATGGCTGGACTGACGTTGCCAAGAATTAAAAACAACAACAAAAGCCCCTTAAAGAAAAAAAAATGATATTATGGCCAATGAAGAAATACTCGCTCCATTCCCTCAGGGAAAACTGCCTTCATTTATTCATTGCAATTTAAAAAGCAGGAAGGGGAAGAGGTAGTAGGCATAGTCTGATGAGCAAGTTACTCTTGGGCCATCCCAAGAAGGTACAGAGCTTGGTAAGGAGAGTTTGGCAAGCTCAGGGCTGTCTGCAGCAGGCCCCTGTGTGCCTCCAGCATGGAAATCCTCTGTGAAGGAAAACCAACAGGCCTAGGAGAAGGAAGAGGCAGCTGGGAGGCTACGTTTGGGCACGCTTGTCAGTCTGCTGTCTTGGGCAACTGCTTATTTCGTTTACGTCTAGAACTGGTCCTGACCTGGTATCACTCAAGCCAGCTTGCTCAGAGCAAAAATAGCAACTGATTCTTATTGCACAGGTTTTCTTGGTAGTCTTGGAAGAGATTTTGCTCTGTTTTGTTGTGTTTTTAATGGAGTAACACCAGTCACAGACTAGATTGTTGCTGAAAATGTTTATCCCAGTCAGTGTGGGCCAGATTCTGGTCTTGGTTATGGTAATGCGGCTCTGAAGTTACTCCACTGATCCTGGTAGACTGACTGCTTTCCGCTGATTTGCATCAAGTATCAGCTCTTTTATCTTCCAGTTTTACAAGATGTTTCTGGAACCTCGCTGGTTTGGCCTGGCTGCAGTGCAGCAGGTTTTCCCCCCTCTTACTATGCTGAGCAGTTTCATTGTCTGGAAACGCTCCCTTTGAGTCCATTAAATGGGAGTCAAGACAAATGTTTTTTGTCCAAAGTAATTTTCTGCATATCTGATCATATTCTGGGATGCTCTGAGCAGTGGCAAGATCATTGCAGAAAACCCTTTTCCACTGGGTTCAACTCAACAGCCCATGCTGTGAATGATTCGTATATCTCAGAGACCACCATCAAATCATCCTGATCCCCAGAGGAAGTGTGACATGTTAGGATAAAGGGGAGACAGAAACTCCTTCTCTCTCTGCCTCTCTGTTCTTACCACTGACTGAAGCGTGGGGGTTTTTTGTTTTATTTTCTCCACAGGAAAAAGATATCTGCCTCCTAGACAACAATAAATTAAGACAAAGGTTAAAACACCTTCAAGACTTGCTTTACTTATATGAACTGCAACTGAAGGACATCCTGGAGAACACTTACCATAGAACAAAAAGTGGGCTGTTCTCAGGCAACAGGAGCGTGCAGCATGAGGTGCTTTTACCCACAACCAGTGGAAATTTGATAGTCTATGACCAAGGTACGGTTTGCAGTAGCATACGTGGAAATTTCAGCTTGCCACAATGTTTATTTCTCCCTGCAGTGTCCCATGTGTCATATTTTATTTCTGCTAAAAGCTTTATAACTTTTAAAGTGGTTTGCATTTTAAAATGCAGTCAGATACATAGGAAGAAGAAGGGCAGACCGGTGGCCCTGGTACCAGCAGACATTCCCTGGGGCCGGAGTCAGCTGGCCCAGCTTTAGGCAGCTACCACCCAGGTACAACACAGATGCCTGCAGCTGGGCTTCTCACCTGGGACTCTGGTGCAGAGAGGAACAGGCACCTCTCAGCTGTTTTCCATCAGACCTACATTAGACATCTGCTCTAGGAAGAGATGGGTCTTGCTCTTGAAAAGCCCATTTTCCCCAAGTGACTTACGGGAGCCCAGAGTGCCTGGCTCAGCTGCAGGCACTGAAACCTGTTTGGAGGAGTCCAGCCTCCCTGTTCCTCAGCTCCTCCATCACTTCTGCAGCACAGCAGCAGGTGTGCATACGATGTTACTTGGTGTCACTTTGAGAACACGGTCATAACTGGAATCGTGGCCTGTGGCCAAGCTTTTCTCCTTCATGGGCATTATATTCAAAGTGTGAAGCACTGAGGTCCTGAAAGACACTCACCTGGTAGAGCTGGTCACAGGTATTTAGCCTCTTATTTTAGAAATTTTGGGCCCTGATCTAATCTGAAGTACAGCTGAGGTTACCTTCCACATGGAAATTAGCTTCCCTGCAAATGATCTTGCTGACAGAGCCAGTCCTGGTGCTGCATCGCTCCTGTGCTAGAGCTCCAGCCTGAGCTGCAGCTGTCCCATATCTCACCAAAGATTTGGGAATGACTCCCTCAGAGAGCATGGCTGTAAAGACTCTCAAGTCTTGCTGCTCTTCGTCAGGCCCAGTAGTTTGCAAACCAGTGTTGCTACTACCTTACTGAACCATTTGCTTTGGTTTTGCAGGGCTTGCAGAGCTGTATTACACAGGCTGGCAAAGTGTCCTTTTCCCATGCAGCTTCTCAGCAATGTCTTCTCTTGGCTGCACATACCCCTTTATTTTCCCCCTGCCCCATTTAACAAATCAATACTGTTCTGCTTAGATTGCTCTGCGTTGTATAATCGGAAGAAGACCAAAAATGGCTACTACCGGATCAGGCCCAGAGCAGACCGAGAGCCTTTCCTGGCATACTGTGACATGTCTGACGGCGGGGGCTGGACCGTCATTCAGCGGCGGAGTAACGGCAAGGAGAATTTCAACAGGTGGGTGCGCCATGGTTGCATCAACAGGGCTTGCGGTTAGGCCTCCAGCTCCCACCCCCCCCATCCTGCTGCCTGGCAAAACCCAACATCTGAGAAGCAGGAGATGCAAGGCTTTGCTTTAATGATGATAACTCTGTGCATTAGGACAAGGTGGGGGTACATATTAGTAGCAGGAGGCCATTTTCAAAATGGACCTATAACACCTTTTCCATGGCTTCTCTGCATTTAAGTAAGTGTGTGTGCATATTTGTTTTATCATTATTGGAGACTGTTGAAGGCTCCAAACTGGCAGGTATCTGCTGCCAGCACATAGGCATTGAACATATTATCTCTTCTCATATCGGGAATAATTTTCAGCATGGTGCAACATTTATTTCCTCATTCAGATCATTCAAAAAGATGCCAAAGCACCGGTCCAGATCGTTTTTTATGCAAAAACCCCAGAGAGGTGACTTTCACCTGGAAATTTCCAGGAGGAGAGATACTCTGGTAGCAAAGTAAAGAAGTGTCATGGTTTAGCCCCAGCCAGCAACTAAGCACCACGCCGCCGCTCGCTCGCTCCCCCTACCCCCATGGGATGGGGGAGAGAATTAGAGGAGTAAGAGTGAGAGAAACTCCTGGGTTGAGATAAGAACAGTTTAATAATTGAAATAAAGTAAAACAGTAATGATAATAATAACAATATAATAATAATATACAAAGCAAGTGATGCACAATGCAATTGCTCACCACCTGCTGACCGATACCCAGACAGTTCCTGAGCAGCGATCGCTGCTGCCCCGGCCAACTCCCCACTGCTTATATACTAAGCATGAGGTCATATGGTATGGAATAGCCCTTTGATCAGTTTGGATCAACTATTCTGGCTGTTCCCCCTCCCAGTTTCTTGTGCACCTGGCAGAGCATGGGAAGGTGAAAAGTCCTTGACTAGCATAAGCAGTACTCAGCAACAACTAAAACATCAGTCTGTTATCAACATTATTCTCACACTAAATCCAAACCACAGCACTGTGCCAGCTACTAGGAAGAAAATTAACTCTATCCCAGCCGAAACCAGGACAAGAAGAAACATTCCCATGCAGATCTATCTATCACAGCACACACAATTTCAGGGCATGGCTAGTGTCTCTTACAGGGAGTGCAGTCCATTGCAAAGCTACCTCAACTGGCTCTAAGCTGGCTTGCCCGGAGAGCGGTAGCTATCTAGCCATGGTAGTTCAGCTCTCAGCACAGGTGAATGAAAAACATCCTGAAGAGGAGCACTGACTAGCATCGAGGTCAGGCAGAATTAATATCCCTAATAAAAACATGAGAAAGTGAATAAACATAGCGTTAGTAAAACTGGAGATGTTGATGTACAGGGAGTATATGTGAATATCAAAGATAATACATAAACAACAGAGGAGATTTTTAAGAGAATGAAATGATGACAAGAAAGTAACAGCAGGAGATTTCTCTTAGAAAGATGAAACCAGAGAATGCTGCTGAAAAATAAGTATGTATCTTTGAAGGACAAGTTGCCACATCCAAAAGTGATCCTGCAAAAAAGCAGAGGTGAGAGTGGTCAATGAATCAAAAATAGATTTAAGTGGAACAGGAGCACAAATCTGACACAGATATTTTCCTTTTAACTTCATTTGGAAGCTTTTGTTTGCCCCTTCTATTCAGGTTCTAATTCTTCAGCATACCACATCATACATCCAAGTTTGTAGCATATTTTAGACTGCAACATTAATTTTCAGCTAGGAGTGCATTTGAATTATGACTTGCTGAAGAACAGTATCAGATGCTTTGCTGAAGACCAGTATGACAGCTGCTGCTTTCCCTTTCCATCTGACTGACAACCTCATTCTGCGAGCACTGCACCTGGCAGTTTGAAGGTTTGATCCCAATATATGTGTGTGCACAGGTTTAGCATGTGAAGAAGTAAGCTGTGAGTTGTATTTACTTCTAAGGCAGAGTGACAAATCTCAGCTCAGCCTGCGATGAATCAGATACTTTTAGAAAACAATGTCTGCTGAAGTTTTACTTGTTACCATAGCTAGGTCTCACAAACTGTCTAATTCCCTCACATGCTGAAATTGATATTTGTCTCTCACTGCAGGAAATGGGATGATTACAAACTGGGATTTGGGAAATTCCAGGGCAAGAATGATGAATACTGGCTGGGCAATGACCACATCTATGACCTGCTCGCTAGAGGTGCAAGTATTTTCCCTCCACAGATATTTCTCCAATTCGCATTAGATCGTCCATTTAACAGGACACTGCTTTGTATTTAGGAGAGAACTCATTAAAGATTGACCTGATGGACTGGCATGGGGAAAGACGTTATGCAGTCTATGAAAATTTCCAGCTTGCGAATGAGCAGGTAATGGAGAGAGTGGCCATTTGCTTGTTTTATCTGTGAGGGTGGGGTATCTGCATGTGCAGCATCAGACTTCAGTATCAGGGTTGTAATTACAGCTCTGCAAAACTTACCTGCTCTGGTTCCCTGGGATTCCTGATTTGGTTGACTGACAAACAGCACTGGGAGCAGGGATGTAAACCTGGGACTTCTTCCTCACAACCGCTGAGTGCCCAAGCTGCTGGGTGACAGGATCCTGCTTGCTCTCTTGCTAACTCCGCTGCTGCACAGAGGGCAGCTCTCTGCCGCAGGGCTCAGGGGTTCCCATGTGCGTTTGCCTCCAGCCTCATGGTTAAAAGAGTCTTCCATGAGGGGGGAGATGAGGGTTTGAACCTCTGCAAGGAAACTGAACCCTGTTCTCCTACTTCCTAGGAGAGTGTTTCAGGCTGTCACATAAAAGGCAAACACCAGAACAAACCCCCTCTACTGTTTTAAGCACTGAACTCTAATCAAAGCTTTGAAAGACCAGTTGTAAGTTCCTATCCTGAAGAGAGGTACCTGTAGCACTACACTAAGTAGTGAAAGCCCAAGGAGAGAAAACCCCTGTATTTTCATGTTTGCGTTCTAGCTTTAGACAGCGTTCTGCTCAATGCAGGTGCTGTTCCTTGCAGGCTTGCCTTTCAGAACACCACGGTGAACAGCCCTAATACCCAAGGACATGAGTTCCATTGCATGGACCAGTCCTAGTTCCAACTCCATCACCACTCCAGAAATGTACGCATTATGCTCAGTTTGCAATTAGTGTTTTTCTTATGAAAAGTTTGAGCAGCTTAATTTTAATACTTTACTGCTATTTTTCATAAACAAAAGTGGAATATGATGACAGGAAAAAGCCCACACCACAAAAGTAATCATCCATCTCATATCAAATGTCTCTTAGATCTGTTTGCTGTGCACAATGGAACTATTCTTCTAAGTATTCCTACCAGGACAGAACCATTTAGCTAGAAATCAGATGGCATCTAGTTCTTGGAGGAGCAAAATTCCTAAGGAGTTATTCTAGCTGAACAGCTGATCAGTTTATGAAGGTAACTACTTGGCACAGTTTCCTGCCAAGTTGTTCTTGATGAGCTAGGAAGAACCTTCCAGCTTGTTGTATAGTGTATCAAATGGTTATTGAAAGACAATAAAGCCTGAAGCCCTTTATAGCAGCAACAGTAATTAGCAATCCCTTCTGGAAGTTTAAATCCCATATTGATCTACACTAGGATCATTAAAGCATGGGGCCAAAAGTCACCCTTGACTTCAACAGTCATGCCTTTGACAGTGGATACAACGGCCAGAGCAAATTTGATCTCAAAAATGGGAGGAAGGGGAGAAAGAGCTGATATCAAAGATGTGTTTCACATATTCTCGCAGGACAATTACAGGTTATGGTTTGGCACCTATTCTGGTAATGCTGGCGACGCTCTGTCTGGTGGGAGCAATTTTGAAGATCAGTGGTCAGCCTCTCACAGAGGGATGCCGTTCACCACATCTGACAAGGATCACGATCGATTCCTGGCAGGCAACTGTGCATTAGAGAACAAGGGCGGCTGGTGGTTTAACAGGTATGGAAAACAGTTGATTCCTCTTGGATGCGTAGAGCGTGGGTGGCCGTACAGCCGAGAGGACTTGCCTGCCTTACAGCAGCTGGAGGTTGCTGTGTGCGTTTGCCACCTCGCACAGCCAAATCTAAGACCTTCACACCTACAGATCCTCAAAGAAAAGCAATTTGCTTCTTTCATTATGAAGCAAAGCAGGTAAGCTGCATTCATTTGAAGAAACTGGGCCACAGGTAAGTTGCATTCATTTTAAGTAAATGGGCCAGAATAAGTGCATGGGGAGGAATGAACTGGAAGGAGAGGAGCCAAATTAAAATTCCTTATATATTCCTTTTGGTTATATGCCAGGAAAGAAAACATTTATAGCCACTACAAGGTGAAGTGTGTACAAAGGACATTTCTCTATTGTGGAGCATGTCTAGGGGATGAACTACCCCTTAAGAGTCCTGATAGTATGTTTGCTACTTGGGCATAGCCCACACATCAACAGACAGGGACTCAGGTCTGGGAGCATGGACACACCGTTCTCAGTTTTTTGCTGCTTTAGTGCAGTGATTGAAATCAGTGGAGCTACAAAAATGTACCTCAATAGTGGGATTTACCTTGATTAAAAGACATCTGCATTTTTAGGTGTCAATACGTAGCTGCCGACACTTGAGCTAGAGCCTACCAAATGGTGCTACACTCCTCTGTTTGGGCAACTGAATCACGTCCCTAGTTAATACACTTGAAGGAGTCAACAGGTTGAATTATCTGACCAGCCTAGGTGTCTACTATAGGATGACCCACATACTTCTCTGGGTTCCACTAAATGCATTAACCAGCTCTCCATAGGCTATAGTAGGACTTCAGATAACCGGTTCAGTACAGAGAGATATACCTAGGTGTCTGAACCTGTCAATGAATCCCGCCCTGGTGTTTCTAAATGTATGTTGTGTGAAAATTGTACTTCACTGTAATGATGCAATGTCTTCCCATGCTAAACCCAATCTCCTGTTTTCCCCTCTCCTATGTCATTACAAGGTGCCATGCTGTAAACCTCAATGGACGATACTACAGAACAGGAAGGTACAATGGATCCCATGACAATGGCATCGTTTGGTCTACGTGGCATGGGATGTGGTACTCGCTAAAATACTCGGCCATGAAAATCAGGACTCCATTCTTTGTTGACAGCGAGAGTGGAGATGGTGAGAACAGTCAGGGCAGCTGAAACCTGCTGATTTAGAAAGAAAAAAGTACAGGCTGAAAAGAATTCTGTAAGTTAATAGCCAGCCCTCTGCTGCTGCCAGTCGCCAAACCTGCACCGTGATAACTGGAGTTGCACCTGCTTCTACTAGCTGAAGCTAACGTCGCAAGTTGTTTGAGCACAGCCAGCCAACAATTCAATGGCAAACATACGGATCTCAGTCATGGAATAACCAGAGTTTTCTTTTTCAGCAAGTTTCAGGACTTCATTGGAGAGTGTTTATGAAAAACTCTCTGGACCTTGAATGATCAAGCATGTTCTTTTAGCTGTCTGTACTCTTCAAGTACTAAATCTTTCTCATCTTGATTTTAACTGTCAGTACTTCAGTTACGAGAATGTAAGAACAGAAACAACAAGGTGATGGGGAATTGGACTTCATCGGGTGTGCCTTCGTTACTGCTTTGTTCTGGATCAGGAGAATGTTTTTAAGCAACTCTCCCTATGGTACCCAATTGCCACGCTTCAGTTGCAGAACGCCCCTGGAGTGTGTGAAACCAAACCAGCGGACAGACGTGCTCCAACTGCTAACGTGCATCCAGGCTAAGGCTACTTCAGAGTAAACCCCCACAACCCGGACAGTGTGGACACTGGATTTCAGTGCCAACAGCTTCCTGCTGCAGATCCACTTCTATAGCACACCACGACACATTAATGCAGACAAAGACAATGCTGCCGACCAGGCTTAAGCCCCAGATTAAAATTTTTACTAAAAGATTTTACTAAATTTAAGATGAGCACAGATATTCTTAAGAGTTCATAAAATGCAGTCATGATTCATCTGTATGTTGTCATGTAATTTACCAGATGACTTTGAGTTAGCGAAGGAATCAGAAAGTGGAAAGTGATTGAACCATAAGGCATGCTGCTTTCATCTGAGTGAAACAAAAGAGCAACACAAATGACTGAAAGAAATGGAATACTGAAAATTTATTTTCCACAAGTTGTTAATAACAACAATTAAAAATGAACAGTAATAACAGCTTGATGCAAATCATTTAACTACCATGTTGCAGAATGAGCCTATTTTTTTTCTGAATTACAGTCATTTTTTAGACTGGTAGTTCTTTTCCATTTATTTGCTTTTAGATCCGTACATATTGTAATTTGTATTAAATATCCATAAATTGTGAAATAAAACCATCTGAGTAGGACTTAACACTTCGTATCTGGTTTTCAACAGTAGGATCTTGAACAGAAAATTGGATGAAAATCTTGAGAAAGCTCATAATATGAGAATTTCCTTCTCTTGGTGTTGGCTCTGGTGCTTTTCCACCTGCTGTCCTGGGTAGTTTAGAGGGTCTGCAAGGTAAGTTTAATTTCCATGGCTCAAGTTGTCCTGGAGACAATGCAGAGACATGTGAAGGTTCAGTGTAAAACTTGGTTTGGTTCCTCTGCTTTGTCAAGAGGTAAACCCTGTTCTCACTTCGTCCTAGACATCCCAGTGATTGCAGACGTGAACACTGGAGCGCAATGGGCCAGCACTCCAAGGAGCCGCGCTCCTAAAGCCTGTGCCCTGGCAAGACTGCACCGCTGCCCTCTTCCCAAGCGTTGGCACGTACCCACGTGGAACGAAAACTTGCACCTACATCTGTGATACGAGGTTGCCCTTGTGAAGAGTGTGAACAACCAGTGCTTACTATTTCCTTTCTGATCACTCCTTCTGTATCTCACAATGGTAAAATCTTAGTGCAAGGTTGTAACTACATGTTGGGAACATAAGGAATCGCTGTGCACACGTTAGAACCGTGTGGCCACTGATGCAGTGCTGAGAGCAGTAAGGGCAATTTTTGTCTAGGCAGAAGACACAGAGAAATGTGAGTGAAATAAGGTCTTGTTAATGCCTGCTGGCAGATGATGCTCAACCCCATCCTTCAGTAGAGGGCTAGGGAAGCAGGGTAAAGATTGCAGACTGGTGATACTCAACTATGCATGTTGGAAATCAACTACAGCACCAAACGGACAACACGAGTGTTTTGACAATTCATTGAGCAGCCAATAACCCATCTAATAATGTACAAGCTGGGAGGGAAGAGGTTCACCTTGCTGTCTTAGATGTAAGATGTACCTAAGCCCATCTAATGTGTTACAGCAGCTGTTCTGAATGCAGCCCATCATTGAGACAAGGTTGCAGGCAGTAGCATCTGGCTTAGAGCAAGGCTCACCCCCCTCTGCCCTCCTGCAGCACAGAGAACCCCCTCGCAGATGCAGGGGTCACAGGGCTTTGTGCAGGACCCTGCAACTCCCACAGCAAACCCCAGGAAGTGTTTCAGAACCCTCTTTATCTTAATAAACAAGGTAAAATGCCACTAGCCCGAGTACTTATTTGATCTGAGGGCTACTGCCACGCTCAAACCACTCCTGCTGAGGGTTAGGGGAATGCTTGCTGAACGTTGCTGTGCTGTACATTTGATCTCCCGTTTCTCCAGGGTCTCCCATGCTGAGAGGCTCACCAAAGCTGCAGATAGATATTGTAGCACTGCGGCTCCAACGCTGACAGATCACTGCTTCAGGGCGAACGTGCTTCACGCGGCGGAGTTTACCCTAGCACAGGGGTGGTAAGTAACCTGAGCAGCAGTTGTTTCAGAGGTCTGACTTCCAGCTCATTTAAGTCAATTTAAAGACTCATTACATCTGATTAGCTTTGGATCACTCCTCAAGCGTGGACATGTTCTCAAATGCTTTAAACAGCATTTCAAGCTGACAGCTTATGGGAATGCATAGCTGGTACGAACACCGCGCAGGGCCAAACGCCGACAACGCAGCATGCTGGTGCAGCTCCTGGGAAAGAGGGAGCTCACATCACCCTGCGGGTCAGATCTGGCACTCCGGCAGCAGCTGCAAAATGTCACCCATCAAAAAGACCATGCAAACGGCAGGGTTGGACTCTGGTGGCCAAATGCTGAGTCTTGCTCCTCCTAGGCTGTCACAGCAAGCCCTCCCACTGTGCGCCTGTCAAGTTACCTGTGCATGCTCTGGACACTACAGTGGGGTGCCACTGGTAACTGGCTAATGCATAGCAATGCTGCTGTTCCTTTAAAATTGTTGTTGTTTTGGAAAAAAAAAAAAGAAGGGTGGGATTGGGAAATCTATCTTTCCACTCAGAAAGCCAGTTCTGAGAAAGACAGCAGCCTACTGCCAGAGAACTAAGCACGTGCTGATTTTTCCTTTGCACCCGCAAGGCGGGTTAAAGGGCACGTAGGGTTGGGCTTCTTATGGGAGAGTTGTTTTAAGACTGACAGTCCTCTGCCTGAACCTACCTTCTCCCACTCCATCCTCCACGGGCAGCATCTCCTCTTTTCTTGTTGTTGCCCAATAGCACTCCCCTGGTCTTTGCAAACTCCCTGAAGAAACGATTATCCTAACAAATGGCAAGCAAAGTCTCTGAGTCATTCTCACTGGCCCAAGCTCGCTCTCTGTTGTTAACTGGGGTTTCAGCCCAGCTCTGAATACTTGCAGCTGTGTGTAATCACCAATTTGTGGTTTTAAAGCATGACAAAACCCACAAGGTAACTTTTGTATTTCACCATAAGATTCTCCGGGAATCACCAGATGTTGTCAAGCCGTTTTACTTTTTCTTTTTGTCTGCAAAACAGATATTCATCAAATAAATGTGTTGTTTGCTGGTTTTGTTCATAATTTATTTTGAATTTGCCGTAGTAGCATTATTGTAAATTTATTTACACAAAAAAAGAAGAAAATGTTTCATAAAGGCAAAGATGATTATAGAAAAGATGGATGATTCAACAGTTCTCTCACTGCCTTTACAGGTACTTGAATGCTCCAGTAACGTTCCTGAGGGCTAAAATTTGATCATCAATTTTCTTTGCCCTCCCAGCAGCATGCCCTCTTCTACTCATTTTGTCAATGCAAATATTTGTAAGTTACTGTGTTTTCTTGGTATAAATATTAGCAGAAAGAAAATATCAAAGTCCTGAATGGTGAAAAATGCCCCCTCAATTTTAAATTCACTCCAAGTATTCAGCATCAATTGTTTGCACTTTCATGCAACCATCTATAAGAAACACCACCATATGTCTTATTTCAGCAATTACAACGCATTAACACAGTTCAATAACGACTACCAAAAAAATGATGAAAACTGCTCACAACTTGAGGTTTGTGTTTTCTAAATGGGAAATGATTCACTAATTAGGTTGGATGAGGATAGTGGACAATGGCTGCTTTAGGACATCATAATCTACTAGTACACGGTCCACAAAGTGAGAAAGGCTACATCAGTGGCATTCATTATGTACGATGCACGAAACGTGACTGCTTTACGCAAGAAAATCTGTCAGCTATTCCTGCGTCACGCCTTCACTAACACATGCTTTCCCAGGGTATTTTGTGTGTATTGTACACACATGCATACAAAAAATAATGATATGGAAGCATTTTCCAGTAATTAGAAAGGAATGTGTTCCCACAAGCCAGACTTGGGGCATTATTCCCTCCTGCTCCTTCGTGCGAAGGTAAGGCGATTCCTACTGCTCCTTCCACCAGAAGCCAACAGATCCTGCAGATCCTCTCCCGCGCACGCCCCTCCTGCAGGGCTGCGATGAGTCACTCAGATCACCAGCTTCTCAATGCTTAAAGTACTTGTTTCATCCTCTTCATTTGAGCCAAAATACCCAGGGAGGTCGATCATCTGCTGCTCTGCCTCTGTTAAGCCAAAAGTAGTATTATCATAAAAGGCAAACTCAGGGTCCAAGGGGAAGCTCTGGCACTTGTCCCTTCGGTACTGGGCAGGGCTTACACTTAGGCCTCTCTGGGAATTATCTTTGCCAGCTGAGCCCGTTTCCTTCCGCCACGCGCCTCTGGGGTTAGGCGAAGGGCCCCTCTTACTTCGGCTGGGCTCAGGCTTATCAGCTGCCTTCTCCTGACTGGCAGGCTGGCGGTCAGTGATCAGGTCCAGCTTCTTCACCGGGGGACCTGCCCTGTGGTGGCACTTTGTGCCATGGCCC